GACCTGATTTGTGCAGTCATTATTTGTGAAACTATTGAAAGTTTAGATGTTGATACAGAATCAACACAGTCAAAACTTAAAGAGAAAGACTAAACAACTCCCCAACCTTGGAAAACTGGACATGACTGAAGAGACAGTGGCAGCCTTAGGTAGACAAAAGCTGTAATAAAAGTGAAGTATTTCTATTGTGAAGTGGAACGATGGATTTTGCCACAGCCAGTAGTGTGGTGCTGGAAACCCTGACCAAGGCCACCAGCCAAGACCAGACCATCCTGAAGCCTGCAGAACAACAACTCAAGCAGTGGGAGACTCAGCCTGGTTTCTACTCCATTCTTGTGGTGAGCCAAGAAAAAGAAGCAAAACATGATGATTAAGCATTATGCTATACATTCCTTACTGCCATGATCCTTTATCCTTCATATTTTTTGTAGACGACAGTCAATTGTTATAAGTTCAGCAAACCTTCGCCAAGAAGGTTATGTTTTCAGTAGCGTTTGTCTGTGGGTGTGTTTGTGTGTGTGTGGTTTAGCAAGATAACTCGAGAAGCAGTGGATGGATTGGAATGAAATTTGGTAGGTGGGTAGGACTTCATGAGACCTAGAAATGATTAGATTTTGGGCCCCCTGGCGGCTTTCCTAGGTACTGCAGCTGAACTTCCGGTTTTGATATCTCATGTTCTGGACATGCTAGGGTCACGAATTTTGGTTGGTAGATAGCTCTTGGGGTAGGGAAGAAGTGACATGAGTTTGGGTCCCCTAGCGCCTTGTTCTGGAACTGCAGGAGCATTTGTTGAAAAAAAAATTGAAGGACGATAACTCAAGAACCGGTTGACGTATTGTCGTGATTTTTGGTATATAGGTAGTTGAAGTGATGCTTGACATAATCAGATGGCAATTATGCAAATCAGGAGCTAATTTGCATAATTAATGAGGAAATTCTATAAATCTGATTTGTTCGATAATAGAACTATGAAACAGTTGTGACATCTACTTGAGATCGAGAAAAACATCTGAGGATATAGATTATGTAAATGAGGACCTAATTTGCATAATTAATGGCAAATTCTTATAATTCCATAGTTGTAACTGCTGCACCCCGAATTTCATACTTGCCACATTTGGAAGTTAAGTGAAGGTGAACATTAATAAACATAATTTATTCAAATCATGACCTCATTTGCATAATTTATGAGGAAGTGCTATAATAGCCTTTTTGTTATGATAAGGCTGTCATTGGGTGGAGAATATGATCAACTGATATAATCCATGCAAATGAGGGTCTTATTTACAAAATCAATGATTAAAATTGTAGAATTCGTCACCCGCAAGGGTTAACATCTTTTGGCGAAGGTATGAGATCGTGGAACTCTTGTTCTTTCTGTTTCTCTTTAATTTGAATGTTTTATTGTCTCACTGATCCTTTGTAAAATACACAATCATTGACCTCAAAACCAAGCATTATATGCTATCAAATATCAATAACAATCCATTCAAATAGCTTTTTTCACTTGTATATTGTTCAACCACAAACAAATCCAAAAACACACTACAGAAAGCATCACCTCTTTGTTGAAGCCCATGATGTATTGTGCATGTTTTCTACGGTTTCAGACGATATTCTCCAACCATGCCATCTCCCTGAATGTTCGCTGGCTGGCTGTGCTGTACTTCAAGAATGGAGTGGATCGTTACTGGAGAAGAACTGCTCCTAAGTAAGCAGTGATCCACATTGTATATTTATTTTATTTATAAGCATTTTTATCAATGACTTTGAGGTATCCTGTGCAGTTGGCCTCCTAAAAATCCTTGAAATACCTTTTTCTGCAAAACAGGACCAGACATGAATTGGAACACCCACATGTACATTGAAGGAGCGTTTTCTTGCTTTGTTGACAAAAGCCTTCAGTGCATGTATGAATGTTTGTAGATTGGTTTATAACAAGCACGTTTTGCTGAAATCACTTTCGTAATGATACATTTCTAAAGTTTCTCTATTTTACAGCTGTAGATAAAATTTTCAAATAATTTTTTCCGTTAAAACAATGCACATTAATCTTGTCAACATACATGTGTCATATATCTTCTCACTATAGTCTCCCTATTCCCTCTCTTGTGTCCTGTTTGCTGGTTGGTTAGCATGATGATTAAGGAGAGTCCAGGGCTGATTAGAAGGAGGGCTGTCACCATTAGTGAGATATAGTAAGTTCTCATTCCTTGATCAGCACAAACGAGTGCTTTTGAAAAAAAAAGTTTTGCCTTGGATTGTGACAAAATTTACCAGCCTAAATTTAGCTTTGAGTGCTGTTGAGTTTAAACCTACTTGATTTGAATGTGAGGCTTGGCTAAGGTAGGTTAGAAATGGTACATATGGTACATGAGACAAGATCGAGGGAAATTGGTTGTGTTGCTAGTACTGTATGTTGTTTGCCCCACTACCCAACTGCTGGCAGAGGAATACCTTATGCAACAGTCATTTGATGATTTGAGAATTTTGTTCCTGTAATTGAATAATTATACATTTATTTATGTTTGCAGGGACTTGATTTTGCAGTAAAAGGCAAAAGAGGATTTTCGCTGTGTTTCCATTTTTTTGGTTAAAACAATTCTTTTGTACAGTTGTAGTAATACAATGGAATGCATAATTGTGGTGGTCACCACAAAAAGGTGAAAATAAAACCACTGTAAACATAAAGATTTATAGTATTTGTTTGAACTGGACAAGCGAGAGGTCACTGTTAAATATAAAATCACCACGAACATCTCAAGATTAACATTTAAGTCATGGCATGTATTGCTTCGTTTAGTCTCCATAAATCCAGTATGTCTTCATCTTGTATTTTGTTGTGTCATGTCCCAACTTCTATGTATGCAGATCCTCTTGTCTTCTGGTAATTAGGGTTACCATTTTGTATGTATCTTAATTTCTGTCTTGTACTGTGTATATTGTATAACTAAAGCTTTGATATGAACAAAATCTATAATTATATGATTGTTGGGTTTCTACAATGATTGCCAGGAAAACCATCTTCCATAGTGCATGGTACCTTACAATGTCATAACAGCTTGTGACAAATACACAATATATCATTATATGTATTGATGGATTTTCTTGCAGAGCAGCACAAAGTGCCACACTTTTTATCTGTTAGTCGTTGGGTTCGTCCTGTTTAGACAGGCTCATTAGATGGCACACCACAATGAAACTCTGCGAAAGAATAGCAAAATATTCTGTGCAGCAGATTCAGGTTCTTGCCTCCCTCACTTTTAACACCAATGTACTTGAATCATAGGATGCACACGTTACTTTATTTTTGCCTTAAGGTCAGTTGATTGCCAGGATATAGACATGTCAGCTTGTCTCGTTTCAGTGCCATCCCAGAGGAGGAGAAGAACCATCTAAGGAAACAGCTTATTGCCAACTTCAACGAGCCAGTCAACCAGGTCAGCAGGTGTTCCATTGTCTCCATGTATGGGGATCGTTGTTTTTGATGTGTTTGTCTGTTTGTTTGCTTGTGTGTCCATAGTTATTTGAATATGGTAGAGTCACAGGAAGTGAGGGGATATGCTGTAACTACAGATTGACAGGAAGGTTGGATTAGAGGTGAAAATTGTCTCCATGCAGACTGGAAGGAAGTGAATGGTAGGAAGGAAGAACTTGAGGATTGCATGTGGATGACAGTGGAATATGCCCAGAATCAGCAAGAAAATTAATTCACAATAATGAACAAAACAAGAAACACACAACAACATCTGAAGTAAATGAGCCTTTTCAGGGAGTCACATTGGCTGAAGACAGAGTGACCATTTACTTGTAGATTCCACCCAACATATTTTTCTAGGTTGCCACCCAGCTGTCTGTACTGATAGCAAAGGTTGCGCGTGTGGACTGTCCCCGTGCCTGGCCGGAGCTCATTCCCACCCTGCTGGAGGCAGTCAAGTCTCCAGAGGTACTGCTCCAGCAGAGGGCACTGCTGACACTGCATCATGTCACCAAGACACTGGCTACCAAGAGACTGGCAGGAGACAGGAAGATATTCCAGGAGGTAGCATGGTCTTCATTACAGCTATTTATTATTTAGTCTCTTCTATGGAGATAGGTAGGCCCGGGCCAGAAAATATAACTACATTTGTATTATAAAAGAGTGTGCTTTTTCTCGGAATATCATATTTACCTTCCAATAATGAATTTGCCAAATGTGAATGTTTTATATACATGTATCTTATAGATGTTGTTGTATGCTATTTATCTATGTATTCTGTATCCCAGCTTGCAGGAAACATCTTTAGCTTTGTGTACAACCTGTGGAACAGCCATATGGAGACCTTTCTACAGTCAGTGGCCACATCGCCCGGCAACACTGACCAGCTGCTGCCTCCACTGGAGAGATGTCTCCTAACTCTTAAAGGTAAATATTCAGTGACTAACAAAACTACATGTACTGTTATAGAGGCATGCATGTATGTTCAGGGGTATCACGGCATTCATATTTTGTGCAATTCTTATGATAGTCTATAAATGTCAGAACTTCTCAAAAAGTATTGTAGGAAAATTAACGCTAATAAGCAAATGGTATTGCACTGTACAACCAGGCCCTTCATTCTGTCCCATTGATAACATTTTCAATGATGTATTCCCCTCCCTCAGTCTGCAGGAAGCTAGCTGTACACGGCTTCACAGGTGCAGAGACCATGCCAGATGTAATGGTGAGGACATGAATCATTTTCTTCAGTCTTTATCGTTTACATATGACATAAACGTACAAAGTGTAATCCTTGACAAGATGTATGCAACATGCATGTATATCCATTCGCCAGACTATGTATAATTAGTCTTTGGTGTACATACATTTGTACTGTCTCTCAAAAATAAATGAAGTCATCAACAATGTATCAATCTTGAGAATTTTTTCCAGGCTCTTCTGAGTGCAACATACCCAAGAATCAAGTCCTTACTGCCACTGAGTAAGTCATTTATCATCATGCGGTGTCTGTATCCAGACCCAGAATAAAATGGATTTCCCATTTTTTTGTTTTATCAGGCACTTCTCACACTCTAACCACTCCACTTTCTATGTAAATTTACAGGAAAAGATTTCTCTACTCATGCTCAGCTAAAGGAAAAGCTAGAAAAGCTTATCATTCTGCTGACAAAAGTGGTGAGTAACTTACTTGTGTGAATTCAGTAATAGTGATGCCAAAATGTAGTAAAAAATTATTTATCTTTGGGGAAGGATACAAATGTAATACAACCATTGCCAGTCAGGAATGTTTGATGAATACACATAAAGATTTTCCAATTATACATGATGTTCTGTAAATGTTGGGAATGGTGTCAATAGCAATTTATGGTGTTAGAGATCTCTGTTGCAGTTCCCCAAGGCTTGGTCCTTGGGCCTACACTACTCACACCCAGCCCTGTCCACTACTAAAAAGTTATGTTATTTTGCAGCTGCTAGACATGCTGGAGTACCATGCTGTGGCCTTCGTCCCGTTCATCCAGCCAACACTGGAGTTCACCGTGAGCTACGTGTTTACAGAGACAGGAGAGGGGATGCTGTTTGAGAGGTTTACTGTCCAGTGCCTGAACCTTGTGAAAGCCATCATAAAATGTGACAACTACAGACCTGCCAAAGAAATAAGTGGTATATCATCAATAATTAATTGTGCACCCTTCTTGGTTAATAATATATTAATAATTAGGAAATATTTGTATTAACGTTATGAAAACTTTGTACATGTATTTTAAACCATGATGTCAGAATATAAAACCCGAAGTACATGTATTTGTCTTTTTTTCAGAAACCAAAGAACCAGCCACAATAGAAGCCTATAAGGTGAGTTTTGGTGGATGTGTTCTTTGCAATTGATAGCTAATGTTGCCATGCCACAATTGTCCTGGCGAAGATGTACAAAGATGTCCTCATACCAAATTTGCAAAGTTGCCAGTCAAGATTTTTTAAGCACTAAAGTAGATAAAAGAATTGCAGGTAGGGATGTCAGTCTTCATTGTGAAGGTCTGT